TATTTATTTATTTATTTATTTATTTTTCAGAAATCATGGCCTATAAAGGTGAGCTTCCCTATAACCCTACCAGGTGCTCGGACATTTCACTGCAGGCCTGCGTGGCCTGATCTTTGGAGGTCTTCTGGATGAAGTGGGAGGCCAGGCTGGGATCCGGATGGACGTCCGCTCTCAGGTCCGCAGGCCGGTCAGAGAACAGACACCGGCGGCCGAAGTCGCGGCGAAGCTTCGTGTAAAAGTGGTTGATCTCCATGCTGGGATTTACCGGTTAGCCGTGAATACAGGGACCGAGGGAAAGTCGCTCGGACTCGGACCAAACTTGTTTTAACAACTGAAGACCAGCTCTCCTGCAATTAAAAGAACAGCCGTTTACACCGTATCCTAGCAACGCCAAGGGCGCAAAGAAGAAAAAGCCCTATACATAAGGCTAAAGCCTTTAAAAATCACCCACTATGATATAGGGGGGAAAAAATCCTCTTAAATAAAATGTATAAATATGTGTTTGAGTCAATCTTATATATAAATTGTAAATAATTTATAAATTATTATTTCAATATTAACTTTGATTTCTCATTGTCTCAGTATGACTTTAAATCTTAAATATCAATGCTACCATTTTTTTCAAAGGAAATTTGCTTTAAAAATAGGATTGTCAACAAAAATTTTCTTGAATTTTGTTCAGTGGGGATATAATAGGTTTACATTGTTAATGTCTGTTAGTCAGCATTCTAGCGCTCAACAAACTTATTGTAATTAGAAGGAAATAAAGGGAAAACAATCTTAAAGTTGTTTTCTTTAAACATATTTTGGAATATCCATCTATCTATCTAACATGGGTTCCATTTGATTCAAACATAAGTACATATAATATGTGTAGATTTTGCTTTTACTTATTTTAGACAGAAATGGAACCATACATTTTTTATTTATTATTATTATTATTATTATTATTATTATTATTATTATTATTATTATTATTATTATTATTATTATTATTATTACGTAGTGGGTCAACATAGTTTTATTGTGAAAATCTCCCCCCGGAAGTGTTGTCAGCAGTTCCGCACCATTTTTATCAATCAACACAGAATACAAACTCTCAAATAGGATAAAAAAGAATTTAAAAAAATATAGTACAGATGAAGACAAAAGTGCAAAGTATAAAATCTAACAGCAGAGGATTCATGAGTCAAGACAAACATTTAAGTGAAACAAGGAAGGAGCAATATATTTCTAGCATAAGGATGACAATAGGAGTGATTTAGAATAGCAGAAGTAATTGTCCATGTTTTTTTCTGCATATATAGTTTAAAGTCTTTTTTTATTAACTTTTTAAAATCTTAATAATGAAGAATTTCACATTTGGAAATCCTTAAATTAATTAATGTAATGAGGGAAAAAAAAAAATCCATAATTGAAGGTTCATTTCTCAACACAATCCCAGAATCCCCTTATTATGCTCATTATTGATAAAAAAAAAAAAATATATATATAAATAAATAAATGCAGTCTAAGCCTTTTAATCTATATTTTAGTGATTAAAGTAGACTAGAGTTTTGGGGGCATTCTGGTCATCACATCTTGCTCACTAGGGATTTGATAAAACATGACACAGATGTCTGTTGGTGTTATCTACTCTTTGTACTTCATATTGGGCCCACCCAGACAATGTTAATTATGGGTTTTTTGTTGTGCCATTGCACCATTGATAGAAATGTACTCTATCAAACTATATTGTCCGAAAGTTCAGAAAACTACTATTTAAAAAAATCCTGCCTTTAAATCTGTGTTGTTGTTTTTTTCTTTATTATCTCATGTAGGCCAGTTAGTTATACGTCAGCTTGTACACCTAAATTCGGCCAATCATGTATCAAAGGTCATCTGTCAATCAAATTTTTTTTGGTCATAGCATCTTGATTCATATGTCGCAGCTAATTTACGCAACGGTTGAAACAAGAAAAAGGACTCATTTACTTTCCCATTGAGTTCCGTCTCAGTGTTCACGGGGATGGACGTCTGTGTCTTCAGCAGGCGTAGAGCTAACAGAACTGGCAGCGTTGCGAGGCAAGGGCTCAAACATGTACGGCTGTAACCCTTCTACACCAAACGAAACTTCTGCCGCCCTGGCATCCTCTTCCACAACATCTTTATCTCCACTTTCCTCCTTTAAATAAAAAATGTCCACAACCTCCGACTCTCCTTCTCTTGCATGTTTCCGTTCCTGCTTGCGAACCTTCCGCCACACCAATCCAGCCCCCTTGATAAATTACCAATCACATTCACTTCATTCACTCTTGTAAAGTTGTACACCACTCAGGAGAATTTGGAGATGCCACGATTGGAGCAGCCGTTTCCATACGACTTTAAATGAAGAATGTGTGACATGTGATCTGTCAGAAAATGCTGAGAGTGCCAGGAGTGAAGCATAGCCGACTGACCTGCAGGAGCAGCAGACGCAGAAGAGCAGAAGTATCCGGAGGGGGAATCCTGAGATAGCGTAGATGCGGGAACAGATTTACAGGCCAGAAAATCAGAGATCTGAAGAGGTACCAAATAGCAGTTCGAAGATAGGTCCGACAAAACTGATCAGAATAGGGGCAAGCAAAACTCAGAAGTCCAGAGGCAGAAACTAGCCAGGATCAGGTAATCAGAAACACATAAGGTAAAGAACTCTCACACACGGCTCAAATAATCTGGCACTGATGGCTGGGAACAAACCATTTAAATAGGAACTGGAACAGCTGGATCTGATAAGAAAGAATAAGAACTGGGGGAAGCTAAGCAGGTGGAAGTAATCAACCAATAATCCAGTCATCAGCGCCAAGATCATGGCACTGCAGACATTTATAGTCAGAGCAAGAATTAGGAACAGAGAAAAATCATTAGTCTTTGTCTACATGCTAGACACTTGTTTTGGAGCCATACCAGATTCTCTTTTAGCATCCAAGAAAATGAATATATATTAAATGTAAATCTAGTGGTATGTGGGAGAAAAAAAGTTTCCCATTACCGGGTCTTTTAGAAGAACAGATTTAAAGTGTATAGCCAAATCAACACAGAAAAAGCTTTTTCATGGAGATGTTAGTCAGACACAAAAATAACCACCTTTTGTGAACATCTTGGTCCAAAACCTAGATCCAATTAAATCTAATGGGGTGAGTTAAAGAGAAGAAAGCATCAGAAGCAGTGATCTAGACAGACAGACTGTTTTATTCCTAGAAAATTAGGTTGCATTAAGTAATTTTATTTCTTCACAATAAAATAGTGGATTAATAAGAAAAAAAAAAAAAAGTCCTGGTGGCGGAGGATTTTTCTTCCTAGATAGAGACCAGCATGTATTTAAAAGTACATTTTATATATTTCATCACTAAGTGCAGACAATATTAGTTTAAGATTATAAAATATGAACGGCCTGCTGGTGAATGTGCAGCTTAGAGTGCATTATAAATGATAGAGTAAAACACTATTAACTAATTACGTGTGAGTATTTCTCACCGGGTGAGAAAATGTGCACACCTAGAATAAAGAGTGGGCGGGACCTTTTGAAAAAAAAAAAAAACAGTCTGCTGTGGAACTTTATCAGGGAATAAATCAGCCTTATTAAATGTCTTTCAGTGTGAGTTCATGTTACCACATTAAAGATGAGTTTTTGATCATTTTTCCCCTTAGGATCAAAATGTAGCTTATTTCACTATTGACTATTTCGCCGTTATCCAAGGGACACATTTAAAGTACATGTGCCTGTAGTTTACACTAAATGAATTAAAACCCTGACAAAGCAACAAGATAAGAGTTAAGAGGTAGGAGTTCCTCTGGTTGTATTATTTTCTTATACAGTTAGTCTCTGTTTCCTTTGAAGACCGTTATCCGCCTCCATTTTCCTCCCTGTATCCCCAGGCTGACAGGAGCTGGAATCCTCTGACAAGACTCGACAGGGATCAGGAATCCAGCCTCTCCCTCCCAGCCACAGCCTCTATGTCTTCTAAACATGCAGTCAGTCCAAAGCCAGTTATAAAGCAGCAGAATTAGAGGAAGAAGCACAGAAGCAGGGGGAAAAAAGCTAAAAGATACGAGCAAAAAGTTTTACAAAACTTCTTCATATTTGATCTTCTCTGAATTAAGACCACCTAGTTAAAGAAGTTTATTTTTCACTTTAAAGTTAGTAAAGCCTCTGGTTCTTTTATGTACTTCAGCAGTTGCGTCACCCAAGAGGAGAAGGAGACAAGGAGGCAGGAGTTATTGTTATGCAGAACCCCTTTCTACTGTGATATCAGACTTTTGGGTGTGTCTGTACCACCTTTGCACACCCAGAGAATAAACAAGTTTGAAAAGAATTTAAACTGGCCTTATATCTGGACTTCAACAAGGCCAATTCAAGATGAATATTTCTTAATCTGCTATTTTACCTTTCTGTGTATGATTGTGGTTAAATTGCTGCTAAATCAATTTCCATCCCTGTGTTTCTCTGCCTCTAACTGGTTGTGATCACGGATGCTCTGTGTTTACTTTGATCTATATTCCCATTAAGTCTGATGGACTCTTGACTTGGGTTCCTCTTTACTTTCAATAGACATTTAAAATGGAATCTAATCAAAGATTCCATTCTTGTTAATATAAATGTATACATTTAGTAAATACTGTATGAGATGTGGTTGGATCGGTGCAAATAGGCGTGGAAGAAACTATCTAAGTGATGGCAGGTGTGCGTTTGTGCCCAGGATATGTGGGATCTGCAGAGATGTTAGCGGCCCCTTTTCCGGACCTTAGACCTGAACAAGTCCTGGACGGAGGGAATGTCGGCACTTAGGATAATCTCAGCAGATCTAACTGTTCATTAAAGTCTTCACCTGACTTGTTTTCTAAATTATCAATATGGAGACGCTGATAACCATTTGTTAATCTGTATGTCCTGAGCAGGTCCTCATCAGTGAGGCTGTTTCCTGCACTATGAACAACTGTTAAACAGGATCTCTTTTTAGAACACCTTTCTTCTTCTCACTCTTCCATAAACACCAGATTTTTTGAATGCACAACTGACAGCTGTTCTTTCAACAGATTCTCCACCATAAACTGTGGATGTTTGCATCTCCTGAAATGTATGATATATATTTTAATATCTTCTAAAGTAAGAGTTAAGCTAAATCTCTTTAACTGCTTGGACAGAAACATTTAACGCACTAAAGACTAGAGGTGAGAAATGCTTCATTTAGTGGTTCATTATTCCTGCACCCTTTTTAAACATGTAATTATATATGTCTAAACATGGTCTAAAACAGTGCTATGTGTGGCAGAGCTAATCCCAGTCTGACTACGAGCTGAAGCACAGACGGGATGTTGAAATGTTTCTCAGAGGGTAACATCTCACTCTACTCTGCAACTAGAACATAATGCCATGCCATCTTCTTCTGTCCTTTAAACCATCTCTGTGGATTCTAAAAATTTAACTAGATTTCGTTCTTCCATGATCAGCCACCATCAAATGGTTTAATGTAACTTTACACCTGTGCACCTTTTGCTTTGCTGTGAACCACAGTAGATTTTAGAGAGGAGGGGTGTTCATTAATTGACCAGTCAGCTCAGCTTTCTTACCCTGGAAATAACCTGTTAATCTTCTGCATATTCATGCACATTAACCATTCTGAACAATGTTGATTTGTGGCTAATCTTATAGTAGAGTTAATTTTAACTGCTTGGTTTATAGCAGGCATCCTCAAAGTCGGTCCTCGGGGGGCCGCTGTCCTGCAGGATTTAGAGGTTTCTCTGCTCTAACACAGCTGATTCTGATGAGTGCATTTTTGCAAAAGCTGTTGATCAGCTATCAATGTAAATCAAAAACCTGCAGGACTGCGGCCCTTAAGGACCGACTTTGGGGATGCCTGGTTTATAGGGATTTACATGCTTTTAAAAAATATAACTTTTCATTTTGGAAAAGGTAAGATCCTCTGCAGGAACTATATATTCCTAAGTGGTTTACATTACAACCGACTATTTTAAGTGTAGATTTAGAGTTTTAAAGTGCTACTTCTCAATTATTCCATCCATTCTGTATGATATGCCACTACCAGCAATGAGGCATGCCCGCACCATTATGCCACCACCGCCGTATTTGATAAGTTCTACAGAACAGATATGCGTGACAGCCTCACTTCAAGTTTTTCAAAAATCTTTGTTGGCCTGATCGCTCAATATGCAGCGCCTCACATCTGATCATAGAACTGTCTTCAGAAGGCATGTGTCTCCATCATGTCAGTAACTGTAAGTTAGACTTATTCAGTCAGTCCTTTTTTATCTTCAAAACAATATTTTGGGTTCCCCATTTGTAGTCATTTCTATAACTTCCTAACCAACCGTTTTTTCATCTGAGGGCCACAGAAGCTTGAACTGGGTTTTTCCACTGAAATATGATCCCAAACACACCTCACATGTATAACTATAGAACAGCTTTGATTGAAAATGTATGCAAAAACCTTGTCAACATATGTAACCCTTAAATGGCAGTTCAAGTTTGAGTAAGAAAGAAATCCACAATAATCCGCTATGTGCTTCCCCAATTCCTTAAGGTCGTTTTAAATTACCTTTGCACATCCGGCATCCTGACTCACCTTACATTTTTTTATGTCTTACCTTAAAACTAATCTGTTCTGCTTGACTTTTAATTCAGTTTAATGTGTTGATTTTTACAATGAAAATTGTTTGTTTTAGGTGATTTCTCTCTTTAGGTATATGTTGAACTTTTATTTTAACAGTTGCTTAAAGCTCTTTGGACACAAACCTTAAAAACATTGGTGTTTAAATTAAAAATGTAAAATCTTATGGCATTGATGTCCATTATTAGTTGCATTTTAACTTTGATAGGACTGCACAGCTCTATAAATGTGGATTATGTGTTCATGTAGAGTTCCCATGTTTCTTCATGCATTTACTGACTCATTGTTTTGCAGATTTAAAGATCAGGTCAACTCTTCTTATTTTCTATTTTTTAGTTATTTTCCTAGGGCAATTCAACTCTTAAACTGCAAGTAATAATAAAAAAATTTATATATAAAAAAAAGACATTAAGTCAGTGCTATGTAATATATTATTTGCTTTAATAATAATAATGTATCTTCCATTAGAAAAATTCAAATCTTCTGTTGCAAAGAGAAGCCCACTGGTAATAAAGTCCCATTCAAAACAATAAAAATGAGCCACAACACAACGTGGATGTAATATACAGAGACTGGAAGAATGTTGGATGAAAGGATGCCTGATTCAGAGCATCTTCTGAAAAAGTTCTACCTTGTTTGAGGTTCTTCCAAGGTTTTGTTGGGAACATAAAAAGAGAGAATCTCATCTTTAGGGTATCACCTTCATGACTGAAAATATTTGCTCAGAATATAATATAAATAATACATTTATATCAGAGGAAGTCGTCATGTTTGGACAATTCTAGTGTTCTTTTTCTCCTTGCTGCATCATACTTTTTTTTTTTCATGCAAAATAAAACCCGAATCCCTGCCCTTTTATAAATATATAAACAAAACACTCTGCATGTCCATGAGTTAACACATCCCTCCTTCATCCTTCCCTGCTGAGTTCATTCCGGTGATCTACTGCCCAGCTGATCCGTTAGTGTCATCGCTGTCTGCCTCCCGTGGAGAACTTGGAGTGGATCCTCCGACGGAGCCAGAGGTGGATCCCCCCAGACCTCCCGCCCTCCTTGCTGCCTTTCCCTTCAGCAGGGCGCTGTCCGGGTGCAGGGAGTGCAGGTGGACCAGCAGTTCGTCCTGAGTCCCCGCAGTGTGGCCGCACTCCTCGCAGACGTACAGCTTGTTGCGCCGCTCCTTGTAGGCGTACTTTAGGGTGACGCTGTGGATCTTCTTCATGTGGGACTCCAGGGAGCAGCGCTGGGTGAAGGCCTTGTCGCACAGAGTACACTTGTACGGACGGACCCCTGAAGTAATGAGAGGAAGTCGAAGAGTTAAAAGCTTTCCTGCATCTTGAGGCTTCTTGTGACAGTCTAAGAGAATAGCTACCTGTGTGCGTGCGCACGTGTCTCTTCAGGTCAAACGTGTCGTTGAAGCCTTTGCCGCAGTAGTTGCACAGATGTCTCTTGGTCTCACTGTGGCACTTGATGTGTCGGTTCAACATGCGCTGGTACTGGAAAGTCTTCTGGCAAACCTGAGACCAGCAGGCACATCATTTAGCTGACAGCATGACATGGAAACACTTCCAGTCTTTAAGGTTGTGTGTTCACCTGCGTTTCTTCTGGTAAACTAGGTAAACCTACTATAGTATAACTTTCATCTTATATTTGGAAAAGAAGCAGGTAACTTTGTTTGAATTTACAGATTCTCTATTTCTCTAAAAGTCCCATTTGGATGCAAAGATCCTATCGAGATCCGCCTGACATCACTGCTGCCAAGCAAACTTGAATGATGCGCATTCCATAACTAGATATAGCAACTTAATATCACAATGTTTTTTGTTGTTTTGTTTGTTTTTTTTATCACTGCTGCTTACTTTATCAAGGCTGCATTTTAAAGACATGAAATTGTCTAAAGCGTTATTCTAAATGAAATTTTTTTTTGTTTACACTTGTTCATACAAAATGACAAAATAAATCTAAGTCTAAGTACAGCAAATCGAAACTGAAGGTGAAACGTCATTTATTTCACATCTGCTAGATATAAAAGAGCACCAATCGAGACCGAAGTGGTTCTTCAATTCCTTTTATATTTCTCTCTTTAGAATAAGGTCTCACAAGCTGTTTTTCCATTAAAAATATGCGCAAAACTCTTCTGATTTCTGCTAAATTTAAAAATGCCAAAGTTCCACATTGGCGATATTTCCTTTAAATTTTAATTTTTTGTCCGTGAAGCAGACACCCTGTCTTCTTTTAAGGGTAGGCTTAACACTTTCCTTTTTTGATCAAGCTTATAGTTAGAGTGGCTCTGGTTATCCTGAGCTATCTCTATAGTTATGCTGCTATAGGCTTAGACTGCTGGAGGACTTAGGGACCCCTTTTTCATCATTTTGCTTCATTCTATCTCTATTCTTCCACTCTGCAGAATCTGTTAGTTCAATCTCTAACGTTATGCTCTTTCTCAAACTTCTCTCACATCTTTCCCTTCACTCATCCTCAACAACGAGAAAAAGGAGACAGAACGTTTGTATCTTGTGGAGCCCCGGCTGCCCAATGTGTCAGTTTACTCACAAATAAAGCTAGTAAAAAAAAAAAAAGCTCTGATTTATATAATGTTTCTTTAATTCTCCTTCAAAATAACTAAGTTTTGATTGAGATCAGAGCCGCACTATTATGGGATCTTGTGTGTTTATCCCACTTCTCAAGTATTTTCTCAACTTAGTCTCCTAATGTCTTGTTGATGTCTTGTCTCTGTTTAGCTTATCTCTTGCTCCAAAGCCACCCTTAGGAGAAGTAAATCAGAAATAAGTGATTCAAGAATGAAACTAATATGAGAAGCTTAAACTGATCCTGTGAGATGAAACTGAACTAACAAAACACCCTTTGTGATTCTATTTTTTCCCCAAGAGGTTGAATTTTGATTGTATTATATCTATAAAATACCTACCCAGAGCTCGCGGTTTAATTTATATGAAATTACATCTTAAGAGCTTAGAGATAATCCATTGAATATTTTTCTTTCCGATTAAATTTTACTTAAACAAAACAGACAGTTTACCATCAAAACTTAATAGGTTATATACAAAGATATATTATTGTTTTCACAAAACTTCCTGAATATAATTTTAGCTATTATAATGAACTTTTCTTGAATTCAAAAATATAGGTGCTTCTTCATTGATGCAGAACAGATACCTAAAGATACAGGTTACTTTCCTAAGGCTTACTGGCTACGTTTCTGTAAAAAGTAAAACCCTCCAGTTTTTTAAGCCCCAGGATCATTTTTCTTTGAACTTACAGAGAACATTCCTGGGTGTCAGGGGTTACTTTTTTGAACATACAGAGAACATTCCTGGGCGTCGGGGGTTAACTTTTTTGAACATACAGATCGCTTTCTTTGCAAGAATTTACAGGCTGTTTCCTAAAAGCTAACAATTGTTTTCTCCGAACTGGGACGTTAGTTTCTTCAAAGAAATTTCATGCTTTTAAAATTCTTACTTCCTCAGAACCGTCGGGTCTCTTTAAGGAATTTACAAGTTTAACAGCAGATAAAAATTCTACTATTTTAAAATGGATCTGGAGCAATCAATGATGAATCAAAGATGGAGTGTCTTGTAGTCACCTGGCACACATACGCTCCTGTCGTTGTAGGGGTAGCGCTGTGATTTTGACCCGCTGATCTGTTTACAGTAGCTGGTGCCTCTGAAGGGCCGGGGGGCGGAGCTTGCTGGGGGGCTGCTGGCGTAACAGGGGGCTGTGGAGGTAGAGGCTGTGGATTGGAAATTTGGGGACGAGCTTCAGGAAGAAGAGAGGGATCAGGAGGCAACACGCCTGTAGTTACCTGTCAGAGAGAGAGGTTCAATTAAGAATATTAAAAGAAATAATTTACGATTAAAACAGTTTCCTTTTCCGACATCCTAATTTAAGACGATCTGTTTAAATTTTTTAAAGAATTTCTTAAGTAATAGACTTCAAATACCTCAATATTTTTTTCTGATTCAGCTAACAGAGGCCTAATGCCGTTTCTCCTTCCTCACCTTAATTTTAGATCGGATGTACAAAGAGTCGCCATGCAAGCTCCGTCTGATATCCGACTTCCCCTCTGGCGAACTTGCTAGACTTCGCGGTTGTCCAAGCAGCGTGCTGGACGGCAGCTCAGCGTGACTGTCTGATGGAGAGCGTTTGGTGAGGCAGAGAGGCACGGTCTCTGCAGGGCTGGCCTCAACTTCTGTCATCAAGACCGACGGCGGGAAGATGGAGACTGGAAGATAGACGGATAAAATAGTTATCACCACTTATACTGTGTTATGGACATTAACATTAGAATAATCTGTTTTTTTCTTTATTACTTCCACTTTTTTTTTTTTTAAATACTACAAGATGTCAAACCAGGAAGTGAAAAAGATGTGGTATTCAATCCAGGTAAGAATTAAATTAGGTCATAATCACTTTTGGACATTTCAAACATAGAAATGTCTATTCTTTTTGATCAAACAGATCGTTTATCATCATTATAATATAATATAGTATATTATAGTTCTTTTCCATTTGCTTTATATCTGAATCTTATTGCATATAAGCAGACACATCCAGATTAGAATAAAAAAAAATCCTTCAGTTAAACCTTTACAGTGTACAGTTGAGAGAAAATAAATAAAATTGGAAGCTCTGACGCAAGCGAGAAAAGCAAATACTCAGCAAAAACATACACTGGATAAATATTTATCTCTATTACAAACATAAAAAAACAATTATGAGCTAAAATAATTTAAAGGTGCTTGGTAGAAACAATTAGTGAATGGGGACAAGACTGTTTATGTAGGGTAAGAAATTCTTGCAGGAAGGAAAGAAATGATAAAGGCTGGGCTCCAAAATGGTAAAGGTCACCAGGACTGCGGTTCAAAGTAAAAATATAACCGACCAATATACTTAGATATTTCTGGATATTGTTTATTGGAGTGATATAAATCCAACCGTAAAATGTATCAATATGAACAAAATTGCAAGCAGTTGAAGTGTTTGACTTAGGAATAGAGAAATTAAACCTTAAGGTGACAGCCCGATTTAGTAACTATACAGAAAATGTGAAAATGACTGCAACTCTTACATTTCCAGAACATTTGTAAAACCCTATGTTTTTTATAAATTGGATACTTTGCTTTACCCTTGACTCTATTTTGTTATATGTAATTTCCTTTTTGTATAGAATAATTCAAGCCTGCTACGTTCACCCAGAACCAGAACCAAACATGAAGAAGCAGCATTTAGTTCCTATGCTCCATTTATGTGGGACAAACTTCCAGAAGACTATAAAAGTGCTAAAAGCCTGAGTTCTTTTAAGTCAAAGTGAAAAACCCATTTGTTTAGAACTGCCTTTGACTGTTGAAGTTAAACTATGAACTGAGGTATTATTAGTTTAAGGTTGTGGTCCAACTGATTAATGCTTGCTTTACTACCTGCTTGTTTTTTGTTTCTTTACTTGCTTTTATTCAGTTTTTTTTACTGTTTCATTCATATAAAGCATTTTGAATTGTCTTCGTAATGAACTGTGCTATTTAAACCAACATCCCTTGCCTCCTATCTTTTAATAGAAAAAAACTAAAGGTAGTTGGTGCACTGATTTAAAGGGAAGTGGTATTCTATACCGTCAATGATGAATATTAAACCTGACTAAATAGTATTTACTCAAGAGTTTCCATAGAATGCAGGTAAAAGAATTGCGGTCTGCAAACAAGAAAAAAATGTTCTAACAGGTTCACCTTTATTAAAACCCTTTGAAGATGCTTTCTTGATTCACTAGGATGTTTTTTTTTATTACTTTAACATTCTGCTCACTAAATTAGCTTTAGTCTTAAATTTAATGAAAGAACCTGATTCCTGATTTAACAAAAGAAAAGTTGAAAAGTAGAAAATCTGATTTTAAAAAGTCTTTTCAGGCGGGTGAAATAGAATACTGTTTACCCAGTGATGGAAATGCAAACAGGGGAAATTAGGGAAAATTATTATTCCATTACTGGGTTTCACAAAAGGCAGCTATCGTCCACCACTTCATATTTGCACAATTGCTCTACTAGCAAACATACATAATAAAAAAAAAAAAAAAAGTGTGTTTGTGTGGGTAGGTGTGCTTCTCTTTGGCTTATTGTTGAGTATGCCTTACTTTGCACGCAGACACATGCCTAGAAACACACACGCACCAACCTATACAAAGACATCCCCATTACAGTTAGACTTGCTGAACCAGCTGGTCTTGCAGCACCAGCTCTTTACCTTCCTCAAACAATCCACCTCCGCAGGGCTGAGCGTCTCCATTCGCTCAGGTGTGCTCCCCATGTGGAAAAAGGTGCACACAAGCAGAACGTAACAAAAACGTCAAATAGAGCAACGTGATTGACAGGGAAAACCAACGGCGCTTTATAAAGGCGTGCTTGTCTGCGTGTTTCAGGTAACCCATTGGCAGGTGTGGCTTGTCTAAGTGAAAACAAGGAATCAGTTTAGGTTCTCAGGCCAGAATCTGATAAAACCCAAATGTAAATGCAAATGAGGCCCCACAGCTAGCTTTAAAGATGAGAAGACACAAAAGCTGATCTATAAACTTACAGAGTTAACGGTACGCGGTGACACAAGGAGGGCTCTGTGTAGCAATTGCAGCATATTTGGTAATGTAATGTCACCAACAAACTTCAGAGGATTTTAGGACTGGGATTACAGAGAAATGAGCAGATTATTATGAAGTGCAACCAAAAATACGAAATAATGACTACATTTCTTTGCAATTTCAGATTATTGTTCTGACATGACTTCTAATTTAAAATCCAAATTTGGGGTCTTAACCTGGGAATTTAAAAACATAATTTTTCTAAAATAATAATAATAATACATTCTATTTGTAATGCTATTAACCAATAACAAAATCTCTCAAAGTGCTACAGGTAATAGTCTTTATATTTGTATTTAATCATGTTTAGGAGATTAAAAAAAAAGATTAAAAAAAAAAAAGCTCATGCAGAACCCTTTTCATAACTCCCTTTTTTTGCAAGGGTACGCACAAGAATTGGACTTGTGTGTGTGAGCGTGTTCATGTGGACGTAGCATTAGCTACATTAGCAGTTTGCCATGGTTAATTTACTACCGTTTGCAGGTCCCATAATCAATAGGTAAAAAACTCACACAAGGAGCTCCTTACTGACTGCCTGCAGGTGACTTCCTGATTGGTGGCATCGCCTGTTTTGGCATAGTAGACACAGGCATAATGATAGCGAAGGAGGCTATAAATACTGGAGGATGATCAATATCATGTGGAGACTGTACTCTTGTTGACTTTCTCTTTTAGACAAAGAGTCTATACACACACGTACAAGCCTTGTTCACACTGGTTTTTCCAGCAGGCTATAACCGAATTCCATCACCAACACACGTTTTAATTTTAGATGAGGTTTAAACTATTTGATCTTCTGGATATCCTGTCATGTTTCTTTAAAGGTGCCAGATTAAGAATCGGGTTACCAGATTTGACAAAAATCCATTCACCCATCGGTCGATGGCTTCATGATCCTATACCTCAATAGCCTTAGCCGACTCCTGCCGATGTGGAAGAGCAATGGCTCAAAACTCAGCTCCAACTGCTGACTGAAACCACAACCAACTCTAGGAATGACAGCCACCCTACATCTTCAGCCTCTTGTATTATGGATTTAATTTTAATCTGCATCTCCTCATCCCAATAGGTGAGGATGAGAACATAGACGGAGGGGAAAACAAAAGCTTTGCCTTTTCTTGCCAAGTTTGATTATCCTTACCAACTCTTGCCATGTCTTGTTTAGAGTCACATTTGTCCAGCAATTTCTCTCTACATCCTATCATCACTGATACCAAGATGCATGAATTTTTGCACTCTTTGCAGAGACTAAAGCCGGATATGGATGGAGCAGTTCATCCTTTACAATTAGAAATCCCTGGCTTCCAACTGAATTGAATGTCCTCCTGAACTCTTCATTCTTATATGTTCCAGTGTGGAGACCCAGAGAATCCCAAACTAGACATCCTTCTTTCCATGAATATAACTTAACAACTGTTCACAAGCACCCAAAATACCACTGAAAGTGTAAAGTCACCCTTGATCTATGCAAAGAATATAATCAAAGATCTTGCTTTGCTTATGCAACGACCTGGTAGCTTCTGTAAAGCATCTCTGGAACATTTGCAGCATCTTCCATGCATTGATTCTGCAGACATGGAGGTAAACCTAAAGAACTACAAGGTACAACCAGACCAGGAAATCAGACTCTATGACACGTTCAATATGTTGTTCTTCCTGAACCAAAAGACAAATCAAATTCCTATCAACACCCTGGAGAAAGGATACATTTGGTGATATATCATGATTTTCGGCTGCTAGATATAATATCAACCTTTAGTTCCTAGCATCGATTTTAAAAAGACATTTTTACCTGAAACAAAGAGCTAAAATGGGCTACCTCTGCGCCGTCACTTTGTTAGATAGGGCCTTGTAGCCCTTTTGCCGTTGATGTTGAGGCAGTCACAGTGGAAGTCACGGACTGACTAGAACCCCAAACAACATGGATACCAAAATAACTAAATGATCAATATCTTTAGATGAACATATACAGCACTTGCTGTTTTATCTATGGTGTGTCTGAAAGTTCACCCTAATCACTATATAGGGCACAATATAGTGGTTAGGCCATTTTTGATGAGCGTCCGAATGTCTACTGGATGAAAAGTAGTCGACTCAAAATGTCCCAGTGCACCTTGAAATATAGTGATCATCCATGGGAACTAGACGAGCAGATATATCCTGGAATGCTTTGTGCGGAGAGCTCTCCTCGCAAAGCATTATGGGATTTGCTTTCACAGCGGGCTGCTATGGCTATAAGCTGTCGCTACCTGACAGTGGCGACGAATAACAAAGATGGCACTGTGCGTTGGAGACAGAGTTACGTGAATAACGGGGAGCGAACAGTAGTGATGTTCAGTTCGAAGGGTTAACTGATGGTTCTATATAGTGAATGAGGGATCTTGGAGTTGGGGCGGACGTTCAGACAAGGCCTGAAAAATATTGCAATATAACACCGTATCGTGACCCAAGTATTGTGACACATATCATATCGTAACACCCATGCCAATACTCACCAATACCTACTACCTTGCAAAAAAACATCTAAAATTTTTAATTTTACAGAGGAAAATTTGTTGTCTATTAGAGCTAAATGTGTAATTATGTAGGCTGTTTAATGAAGG